TACCGCGGCAGGCTTGCCCAGCCTCAGGGAAAGGCTGGGCAAGCAGAGAAGGCAAAGTCTTCTGGAAGAAGACTTCTCCAGTGAAGGGTCTTCCAGTGGAAGTCAGGAGAGCTTGTTCCCCTCCAAGCTTGTTCCTCTCCAAGCCTCCAATGGGGTTGGCTCAGATGAATTATTTCTTAATGGACTGTCCTTGTTTTCACTGAAAGAGGGTTTAACTAGGTAAGACCAGATGCATGCCGGGTTTGCTCTCCTGAGGAAGGCTCTTGGGAGCTGGCTCACAGTCTGCCTGTTCACAGGTACCTGGACCATCTGAGCAAAAGGGTCATGAATGTGAATTATTCTTCAATGAAAAAAAAAAAAAAAACAAAACAACAAATCAAGGAATGTCTTCAAAGCAATCTGATGATGTGTGTTTCTCCATAGATCTCTCTCAGGGCGAATTGTTGGAGGAGTCTGGTGGTTCTTCACTCTCATCATTATCTCTTCCTACACTGCTAATCTTGCTGCCTTCCTTACGGTGGAAAGGATGGTTTCTCCCATAGAGAGTGCAGAGGACCTGGCTAAACAAACCGAAATAGCCTATGGCACTTTGGATTCAGGCTCAACCAAAGAATTCTTTAGAGTAAGTCTGTTAAATCTCCATTAGAGCTTTTCTAAACTCTAAGTGCTTAATGTACGGTTTTCAGTCATTTGTTTCTACCCCACTGTAATAGCTGTGCTGGTGAAAGCTGCTTTGTGCAATCAGGCCAGGCCTGAGTGCAGATTTTAATATCCAAAGGCATTTTATAAAAAATGGGTAGTTTTGCTCAACCTGAAACATCTCAAGATGGAAAACCTGACCTCTGCTATCACAGGAAGGGTTTTTTAACACCATGTTCAGAACCTCGGTCTGATGAGCAATAATGCAGTCGTTAGCACAATATTTAGCAGAGAAAACTCTTGGAGGAGTGATGCTCTTGACCTACTTGCTCTGTTTGCCCAGCTGGCAGCCGTTAATGCCATCCGACATGGGTGTGCACTTGCCAGAATGAGAATGGGGCTGGGAGGCGTGCGTTGCCGGTCGTTTCTATATGGTGCATTGATTGCTGTGATTGTCGTAGCTGTGTTTTCATTGCTCGCCAGCGTCTGGCTGTGGCTGTATCAGGCAGTCAGGGGTGAAACATTTGTACCCCAGAACACTGGTCTGTGTTCACCTTGCTTAGGGACGTGCTGGGTTTGCAATACGTGGGCGTAGGGGGGAGTATACACTTTTATTTAAGATCGTCCGTCCTTTCTCCACTTGCCAAGCCACAAGCTGCACTGCAGAGAGTTTGTGAGGGTCATTAAAAACTCTAAATATGACCTCAGACCACTTTTTGTGCATCTAAAACTGTTGTGACCTGAAAAGCTCTTATTTCTGCCCTTTTCCAAGGGCGAACTGAAATGCTCGGCCCTTTCAGGGAGCGATTGGTTCTCTCTCAGCAGTGCCAATCAGATGCCATTCAAACCAACATTTTTTTTTTGTATAGGGAAGTGGTCAGTGCTGCAGGGCTAATTACCGCCCGTCACGCATACTGGCCAGGTGCAAGGGCGAGGGAGGCGGGAGACGAAAAACCCCTTGCTGCTGTAGGCCGATTAAATACTGAGGGCTCCTTCAATAAATACTGAGGGCTCCTTGAATTCACTTAAAATTTCAGTACGTGACCACACACACACTTACATGTATGTATAAATCTGATGCAAAGCTGGAAGTGAATACAAAGGCATTTTATGCAGTGTTCGTACTCTGCCTTACTTACGTGTAATGTCTTTATAAAAAAATAGGTACTCAGTAGTTCTTAATTAACTGTGGTGGCTGGTACGTCAGAATGGCTCCTGTTTTTATTAAAATCCTGTAAGATAAACACTGACCTTGTAAGGGTGGCATGAGCGTGTAAAAATTTGTATTCTGTTTAATTATCAGCCTGAGGCAGTAATATCTGCACAGCAAAAATGAGTTGAGTGGACCTGTCAGCAGTGGTAGCACAACTTGATTAGAAACATCGGTGCTGTTTACAGTCGCTATACTGTTCTTAGGGGGGGAAAAAAGTCTTCTTTTCAGCATTTTGTTACTGTTAATACAGAAAGAGGGATTGTATGGGGGCGTTTCTTCATTTCCTTAATAGTTTGACATAACAAGGAAATCCCTTCTCACCCGGAGATCAAAGGAATGAGTGTTCCGTGTGAAAGGATACGAAGTCTAGTAAATGTATGAGTACTTTGTTGTGCTGTTAATAGTCTTGAGATGAGCTGTGACTCTCTCCTGGTGCTGGAGACAGCAGGGCTGGAGACGAGGATGATCTGTCGGGAGCTGCCAGCCCCATCAGGCAGGGAGAGGAGTCAGATGGGGAGGAAGGCGAGCAGAACCCCCGTAATGGTGGAGCGGGGCATAGCGCCTGCTCTGGGTGATCCAGATGGGCCGAGCGGGAGGGGGAATGGGCCCTCCGTGGTGCTTCTCTCGCCTCGG